AGGTTATTTTCGAAAAGTGCGATCAGTCTTTTTAGATCCAAAGTAGGAAAACATATTTTTATATTGGAAAATAATCAAAAGACGTTTCGTTACTTAATTTATAAAGAACTTTGAAATTATTCCTATGAAGGTGAAAATAAAAATACTTACCGGAATCCAAGTTCAATATTCTGACAATTTTAATTGTCTCTTGCACTTCTCAGTCGCATAAGTGTTTCTTTAATGCTATTGACTTCTTATTAAGCAGCTCGGCTAAACGTTGTACAACTATAATTTGGCAAATAATTATTCCGTTAGTGTTAGAACAATAATTAAATATACATTTTCAACGGATAATTCGTTTAATCATAAATTAAAATACAACCGCTTGTGTTTATATTGCGAGGGAAAAATTATTTAATTACGAATTACCCTTTGTGGGTTTATTTTAATTTTCAGCAGGAAAAGTGTTATCGACCTGGCACAATATGTTATTATAGGGTTTTTTTTTTATATTTATAATTTAAAAAACAGCGCCTTATTATGTACATTATTTTTGTTTTGAAACTCCTCGGCCGTCGCATATATTTTATTTGCATTATAATTTTGTGCAACTCGGCCAGTGAAAACACGGTAGGTATGTTCAAATTAAATTTCCCAGAGTACAGCCTGAGAATATAAAAATAATATAATAACAACCGTCTGTGCGTTAAAAAATATATTATATTATATTAAAATGAAAGGAAAATATTTGTCGGTTTCGTCAAACGACAAATAATAATTGGTGTAAACTTGTCGTTGAGATAACAAAGACAAAAGTTATACCTTTACATCAGAACACCAAACTTTGTTTTTTCAGGTAAAAATCCCACTAAACTTTAAAAAGAAACGTTAATTGGAAAAGGACTGTTTTTAATTAAAAAATAACATCTGTTTTTGGTACATTTGTTCTTCTTTGGTAAGCTTTTATAAGTAATATATTTCATAAAAAAAAAAAAATAATTATACGAGTACACAATATAAATCACAAAACTTTTGGTCGCTTTTTAGTAAATATTAAAATATTAAAATGCTAAAAAACAAATTATAAATTATTGAAATTTATTAAAAAAAAATTTTAAATGTTGGTTTTAAATGGGGCTACCTCTAAATACCCTAGTGGGTAGGATTTTTCAAAAAAATACCCAGGTTTTTACCTACAAGTTTCAAAACTAAGTTGAGAGGGGGTAAAAAAAAAAATTAGATCACATTGCATAAAAATAATATGAAAAAAACATTTTAATTTCTTATTAAACCCTATGAGATATTGAGTGCCCCATGATAAAAAAATCACTCTGTATGTATAATATATGTAATTAAGAAATCCTAGGTTAAAAAAATGTAATCATAATTACAATTATATGATTAAAGTAATTATATAACCTATTACTTATCTGATTAATGATTTTGTCAATATCTCATATTATCTTTTTAATAAACCTAATATTTAGCTGAATGTTTAACATTTAAAATCACATTTTTTAACTTTTTTAAATTAGCTATAATTTTTTTTCACGTTGTCATTTTCAAAATCGTATATGACTTGTCTCCAAAATGTTGTTCCAATCACTAAGCTAATAATTACACATTATAGTTTAAGATTTTGCAAAAAAAATACTTATACCTAACATCTTTATAAGTATCACGTGCTCTTAATCAGATTACAATTTGCCCTATACTTGGTTTTACCGCACAAATACCTACACAGAAAATGCGCAAACACTGCAATTATTATCTTAACCGTTCGCTGGATGTGCCCAAAACAATGACCGTTGTGTTTAATATTTCATTCGTTCATTGCCCGACACATACACAATAATATTACTAAATTATTATAAGCATTAGCCGGCGGTTCATCTCTTCTTTATGTGAATATACAGACAGACGAGTGCGCAGTCATTACATGATATAATATTGAACAGAACACTCATAATGCAAGGGACAAGGAAACTGACTTCCTGCTTGCCGGTAGACAGGGCACGTAATGATCATTCTTCGATCAATCGCCGGTAAGTCATAATGCACGGACAATATTACATATCAAGAATAAAAAAATTGAAATTTAATTATGCATTTTTTTTATTGTACATTGCATCGATGCGCATCCGTTGTGTAGTTTAATTCCATTTATTTTGCGTTTTGGAATGTGTCCAAAAATCCAAAACTGCCAGTATATTTTGCCAAAAACCCGTTACTCGATTATATTGTGTCTTCCTTTCCATTAACGCCCGGACACTTTTCAATTATTCCGGTTCAACAAAACCGAGCCGAGCCGTATAATGTTTAAGAAAAGAAAAAAAAACAATTCGGACGTTATGATTGATAATGCTCATAATGGTTCAAGTATATAAATATATGAGATCTTGTACACATATATTATTATTACGGTTAACCTTATGATGTTATATTGTGTCTACAGACTCGGACCATTAGCTCGGTGCTAGCAAATGCAACGGGTGTCGACTTGTGATAACGATACTTACTAAGTTTATTGTGCAATATTTTAGACAGGAATATAATTTTTTTTTTACCCCGTGAGATCCCAGTCGTTTTTATCGATAATAATATTTTATATGAAATTAAAGAGAAAAAAAACAAATTTTTCCATCATCCGAAAGCCAATACGATTTACTCAATCTTTCCAGTCAATAACTATCCTTTTACAATCTATTAATGCACTTAATACCGGTTTAGATCAGGAGTATTATATAAATTATATACTGTGGTGATGAAAAACAAATACATTAAACCTAACTAAAATTTTGCAAAAAGAAGGTGAATTTCAGGGATTCGTATTAACAGTTTAAGAACTGTTAACTGAAAAAATAACCGTTGGCGTCTAATGTATAATTATTTCCATCCGATCGGTGTGGGAAGAACAAACTAGAATTCTTGCCAATATTTTGTATTTCAAACAAAAACAGTTATAATTATTGAAACGTGTATTTAAATTATTATCCGAGCAACTCTTGTGTGTATTTATTACTTATTAATTTGCATAATTTTATGAGAAGAAATACAGGCTTTAATTGGTGGTTTCTTATGATATGACTGTAATATGTTTTTAGTTAGTAACGTTTCATTAACAGAAGAGTAGTAAAGTTAAATTATGGAAATTTATCCTTTAATAGTATTTTGTATAAGTGGCGATTGATTATTTAATACAAACTACTATTTAAAATTTATAAAAAAAAACATCGTTTAATTTGCGTTTTTTACTGTGGAAAAATATACTAGATTTCTTTTTTACAACATAGTTTATAGACAAGCTTTGAGCTTTCAAGGTATGTGTTTTAACGTCAGTTATTAAATTCATATTGTAGTTTGTACAATAAAATATAGAATATTTTTTTATCTAGATTCACCATTTTCTGTAGCTACAGATAAAAACCAATGTGGAAATTGCAATAACACAAATATATTATGCTTACAAGTGTGTTACATAACCAATACCATTATTGCATTGTTATTATAATAATAATAATTTTTTTTATGCGTGTAAAATATATATATATATATATATATATACGTAAGGCTTAAACCACTGACATTTTCCGACTCTCTTAACTGTACCCAGTATTATTGTTTAATGGACGCCAGTTGGTTTTGTTCTTTGTTGATTTTAAGTACAATAATTTTCAAATCACATGGGTAATAAAAAAGCAACATTAAGGTTTATTGGCTTTCAAAAGTCGCATTCCCGTTAAAAAAATACCGCCGTTTTATAGTGATATTATATTCTATTGTAAAAACAAATTAAATTTTACAAAAACCGTATGGATAAACCATAATGTATATTTTGCCATATTGAATAATGTACAGAATCGCAAATTCGCTTATCGAAAGTGTTTTTCAGTTTTTACATTGAGGGATAGGACACAACATTTGTCTTAACCGTAAAAGAAATACTACTTATATTTGTATTGTTTTTTTTTTACTTATCAAATAGTACTCAAAATTGTAAAACAAATTGTAAAAGCAAAGTTAGGTTTCTCTCTATGCACGCAGTCTAAATGTTATTATAAAAAGTATCAAATATACTAAGAAATATTTGGTATAATTTTTTTAAAGGGAAATGAAGCTATAATTGCAATTGCATTCTGTAGGCCGGTCATCATCTTAAATCATTTTGCATACATTTTTTAAAATATACATATTGAATTTCAAATAGTTATCAATCTGTGTAAAGCAATATAATAAGAGTAAACTATTAACAATATTATAAATAATATAATATATTGTAATAATAATAATAACATAATATAATATTAATATTATTTATTATATTTAAAAATAAATAAATATATAATATACATCCTAATATGTTTTTTCAATACTCAACTATTATCCTTACCACTCAAAATCCTGAAAAAATGAATTTTTTAAAGAAATGGTACATTTGAGTGAATTGACAATTTAATGAAAATTTTGTGGAAATCCGAAACCAATATAAGTGTTTTTTTTTTTTAATTACCAAAACTAATTAACTACACACCTTTCTATACTGTAATAATATTTATAACATTTTTAAGTAGCTCTGATAGCCATTAAAAAAAAAAAATCCAGATTTTCGGATTTCCATCGCTCATATTACATTAACCACTATAAGTCGCAAACAGAACCATATTGACCAAAGAAAAAAAGATATTAAAAATAAATGTATTTTTTTTTAAAATTGCTTTTGTAATTGCACATTATAGCACACAAAAATAAAAAATGTATGACTTTATACTTTTTTTAAGCGCCAGACATTTTTTATATAATAATATTTTGTCAGTTCACTCGAATGTATCGATAACCTTATTATTAAAGTAGGTTTTAAGTATAACCTTTTTTTTTTTTGAAAATACATTGTAACACAGATGGAAAACCCATTTTGTAAACGGCGGACGACTTGTTCGGCCAAACGACCGTCGGTTTGTGCGGACAAGGCATATGTTATTACATTATTATGTCTTGTTGTGGTACGTTCTTGCCAGCTATCAAGCGAACGGTCCACAACGATCGAGGGCCATGGCAGTGCGTGCGGTTCACCGACAACGACGGCGGTTTAATTTCTTGTGCAGTCACCATTTAGACATTACCGCGCGTGTACACTTCTCACCTGATATCCGCACGAACGTTAATCGCGCTATTTTTTAGTAATTATTATTTTTTTAAATCATTTATTATTTTTCAACATCCTACACTTAACGTCGGCAGCTGCACCGTTGCCCGCAGTCGACCGCAGGACGAGCCTGAGGATTTTTTTTTTGGAAAAATATTAAGGTAAGGAATATAATGTGTAATAGATAAGATGAATTTTTAAAAAAAATTGCTCGCACGGTTAAAGTTTCCTGGAAAAAAATATAGCTAAGAGTAGTGATTTTCGAAGGAAAAATGTTGAAAAAAAAACCCGAAAAATGAATTTTGCCGAATTATTATTCATTTTTAATTTGACGATAAAATTTTGTAAACCTTTTTCTCGAATAAAAGTAAAGTTTTTTTTTTTTTTTATGATTTAAACGGAAGACACCTTCCGGTTTTTTTTATGTATACTCATAGTTTTTTTTTAATCAGCTGTGTTAAGCTGGGCTTAAATAAAGCCGAGGAGGTGATAGCTGTTTTTTATTGTTTTTTTTCAATATATTATATTATTTACTTCAATTTAACGTTAGTTAGTTTTTTACCGTAACCGTAGCCCACGCAGGTGACCGCGACACCGGCGACCGCGGAGACTTGAACGGTCGTCAACAAGACAGTGGATGTATTATAATACATAAAAAGGTCAATAACACAAACGGCAATGTCGTGAAAATTCGATTTTTTATTAATATAAGTTAAAAAATATACACGACAAACCGATATAATTTTATTCAACGAGCCACAAACGTGCGCACTTGCTTTATAAGAGTTTGTTATAAATAATATTATTCATTCGGAATGGCGTAGGTTTTTTTAAGTAATCTTCTTTTGGCGTAGGACGGCAAAACCGTTTGACATAACCTTATAAAGAAGGAATTTTTAAAAACCCATGCAAAGAAGGTTAGACATTATAAATAAAAATAAATAATTTTTCATACGCATGTCGGAAACATTTTTTACCCCGTATAATACATTTATTACATTTTTATATCAAATAAATCATATCGAATAATATTTAAAAAAAATATATATATATAAATATAATATTATGTATAAAAAAACTAGCTTAAACATAAAAAATAAAAACAGGTAATTGTAAATAAATTAAGCTTGAGATACACTGTTGTAGCACCTACCAGATTTATTATAAACTATCATTAAAACAAATAAATATTATAAAACATCAATTGAAAAATAATTAAAATAGTATCCTATAAAACTGACAGTAACTTTTTAAACTTATAAATTAAATGAGAACTACAACTTTAGCGTGTACATTTACATTAATTATAAGTTTAATTTCTGAGAATAATAATGTTGATGCGGTAAATGTTTATGATTAAGCTGTAAATGTTTTAGTCATATTTATTAATCTGAAATACATAATGATTTTTATGAAAATAAGTAAAATACTGCACAAAGTATAAGTTAAAGTACTCCGAATAATTTCTAATGTAATAATAATGTATTGTAATGGGCAAAAATGAACATTTAACTGGATGGTATATTGCTAGGTATTACCTACTGAGTAAGTGTAGTTTGTGTTATCAAAGTACCTAAGTAAAAACAAATTATACATATATATATATATATATATATATATATATATTGAAATAATAATAAATACCTTTTTAAAATTCCTTGCACGATTGAACAAAAAATAATTAATACCTAATGTTATATTTTGTAAGAGAACGAAGAAACAAAATTTTTTAATAATGTGTGAAAAACTAAATGGGTATACACTATAATATAATTTCACATCCTATCTAATGGTTAATTGATTTTTAATAGTAACATTTTTCCCTTAATTATTTTTGGAATGTCTATCGTCGTAAATTGTATTAAAAGACTATTCGGAAATACCTATAGTGTTTTATTGAAATGTTTTTTAAAATTTAAATCCTTCGCCATTGTTACCACATTAATTACATTAATTTTACAAAGTAAAACAAAATATAAATTTTTATGAAATTGTTATCAATAGGTTTTTTTTAAAATTAATTCAAATTCACTACGAACATTAATACAAAAAAGTACATGAAAACAGTGTGAAAGAGTGATTAACTTAGACACCCTGCGGATACCTTTTTATATAAGACCGAAGAATGTTCTAGATAATATACAATAACAATATTACTATTGACGTCAATTAACAGGTGATTTAATTTAAACACTTTTGATTGGTTATAATGATAGATCATGCCGTAATACTATGTTTTACTATGACAATAATAATGCGCACAAAGAAGAATGCAGTATAAATTAAATTATTGCTATTTCAACAAAGGTGTTAACACGACGGGTGGCTTCCCCACAAGCTAATTCGAGCCGTGTGTGTAACTATAAGAAGAAAATCACCTCATTGCAAAATATGTACAGATTGTTTTTGATTAAATAAAAAAATGGCTTTTTTAATTTATTAGAAATTCGGTCTAGACCTGTAGGAATGATTATTGTAGGCGTAGGACGTGCAGACAACGTCCAGGTTGTACTGAATAGGCTGTGTGCATGCTCTGTTAACACCGGCAGCAATTATTTATCTTTTTATTAAACATTTTTCGAACACGGAACATTATCGGATATCCGAAATGGTTTTTAAATGGCCCTCGGGTGTCTGAAATTCGGATTGTGTGAATATCGTACCGGCTATACAATCTCAGTAGTACACGTTGTGTACACATCTAAGGAGTGTACGAAACGCGAAAAGAAGAGGAAAAAGAAAGTAAAACGTCATGCAATATCAGCTATATCTATATATTATTATCAAATAATACCGTTTCGTACGGACGCACATTGTTGTTACTATTATTTATTTTTTTATCACCGTACAACATATGTACCTACCTAAGTATGTTATTATTATCGACTACACCGACACCGTGGCCGTATGTAGTGCACACGGGTACATATAATAATATAATAATTATATTGACTTTCGCTATAGAATATTTACATGTGTGTGTGTGTGTTTGTACCATCGCATTTATGAAACAAACATTATACAGGTGTATAATGCGCACACTTAAGACGGTACATCTGAAAAACGTTTTCTTCGCCGGCGCCCTTCTCTCATTACCGGCGCATATTATTATAATAATAATTAGAAATTCACTTTCAATCCCGGCGTATAAAATACGTATATTACAGGTAGGCTTGTAAATTTAAATTCAGTCTAGTGTCTTCTCCTCGCCGAGTACATTACCATTAATATAATATACTATACACCTATTGCTCCATTAAAAAAAAAAAACCCATTCAAGGACGTCACACGCATTGCATTTTTCTCCGTTGAAATACATACACACATAAAGACGTAGGCATTCGGCCAAGTTGACTTATTTTGTTTTTTTACCAATTTCTAGTTTAGATATAACTATTGATGTTTTCCGGAGTCGTTGCACAGCTACATTGGGGCTGTACCTAATCGGTACCTTGTAACTGGTAACTTGTAAGCTCATCCCAGCAATGTGAACCCCAACAGAGACACGTGTACCTACTTAAACGCGTGCACCATCGTTAGCTCGATCATTTTCAAAATTACTTCTACATTAAAGGTCCACCGTGAACCGTGCGTGTAATATGTCTATATAATGTCTATGTGTGTCCCTTTCAAAAATCGTATTAACTCATTTTGAACTTATGCAACTGACTAAATCTCAAGTTTATATACATGTACACACACACACAAAACCCGCTGAACTATTGCTCAAGGTTTAGATGAGCGTTTTCAGGAATAAATTATACGCGTATCATTGTCTAATGTATATGTAATTGCAACAAACATGGACCCTATACCTAATATTATGTTAATGCGTGTCACGTTGTACACATGTAATCGGAAATTAGACACGCCACGAGTGCCCACAATCGTTTTCGGTTGATCCGTCTTGGAAGAAACTATAGCATGGTATTATAATAATATATTATATGGATTTTATCCCGTGTGAACAACACCTAATCGACAAATTGTTGCGCACGAAGAGAGCCCTGGTTGCCTGGTCATCGTTGACTTCTTTTTAACGGTTGTTGTCCTTAAGGAAGAAACGACGACGACGACGGCAAATGGCCCGTGACATTGCCCGTACTTAGGCAGGTGTCTTAGAATTATAACAATGTCTAGTACATCTTGTACATATACACACACATGATGTTGTATTTGGCTCTCACCGCGGTATATATGAAGTCATCGGATTACTACACATCAAAGTAATTCTGCTGCTGTTGTTGTTGTTGTTGAAGAAGAAGAAGACCAAGGCTATAACCAAGACCGGCGACGGAAGCTAAAGAAAAATCGAAGAAAGACAACATTTGCCATTCTGCGTGGACTTGTGTGTGTGTGTTTATATTATTACAAACTGGTTTCACCCGCAAGTATGACTCGCTCACGGCTTGTGCCTCTACCTATCTATACGTTTCGGTAGATTGCACTCTCGCCGAACCGCGCAATGTCAATGTCGATAACCCGGCGGGGGCCGGAGACCGGTTGTTGGTATAATGTACATATATTTTATTAAGTGTTCACTTTCCATTTCGAATTCCGCGATACACTCGCATTCCTTTTTCTTAAGTTCGCGAGCACGCCATAAGCCGCGATGGACGGTATATCCAATATTATATTATATTATATTATATTATATATATTTCAAATACTTTTATATAATATTAGATTGTTAAAGTTTGTCAAAAAAAATTGAATTTATCAAAACAAACAAATCATTACAGATTTTGTATGCTTACTTGTACTGTGTAATGGTGCAAATGCCCTTGGCTGACCTCGTCGGATGAAAGCAAAATATACATATTTTAATAACTCTCCAAAAGGTTAAGAAAGTTTGCACCGCCTATTATAATATACATTGATGTGATATATATATACACAAAAGTCTACTTACACATTCCCAGTAAATGTACATAATATACACGGATGAGCTAGTCTTTCTGTGAATCAATTGCGCTTTTCAGTGTACTTAATGTATACAAAAGGTATTAAAGCTCCGGTATTTGTACGTTTCTGGAAAGCAAATTACTTGTGTGCACGCCGCTATAATTATTTTCCATCTCTTCCAAGTAGTGATCTAAGCAAACTCCCAACTCGTTCGGTGAATTTTCTCGAATTTACATTTTAATTTTCCTATTCCATA